GGGGGGATGGGGAAGGATGAAAAGCTGGGAGAGACAGGCGGCCGAAGAAGACTTTGCGCGCCCCGCCCCTGGGGCCCCTGGACGGCCAAAACTCTGGCCTGATTGCTCGCGGGACGAGCAATGTCCCGCCCTCCGGCACGCCGCCTTTGGAGTTAGGTGGGGGGCTGGGTTGGTCTGTGTAGTCACCCCGATTGATTAACAAAGGAAGTTTGGGAGACACCAAAAAGAAAGAAAGAGAAGTGCTGGGAGGAAAAGGAAAGAGCACATGCTGCTGCTGGAGCTCTACGATTGGTGGATTCTCGGTTCGCAGGGGCGGAGGAAGATGCAGATTGGCTGGGACGGATGTCTTAGAGTTAAGGACCGCCCTTTCAGGACGCGAGTCCAGGCAGAGGCTGAACTGCTGTCATATCCGCTTAGTTTTTGCAGCTTCTCTGTTTCTCCAGTGATTTCTCACCGTCACCACTGGGGGTAGAGGGAGGGAGAAGAATGGGCTCACCTGATGCCGCTTCTGCAGGCCGGGAGCTGTAGGAAATACTCCCCCCCCGCGAGTATCGCGGGACCCGCCTCTTGTTAATTCTAAAACCATGCACAAGTAACTCTCAGTAGCATATATTCAATATCAATACCCAGTAGCATATAGAAAATCCCAATACCTGATATAGTGTTCACTTCAGAATGAACAAGGAATATTACCAGACTATGGACCAAGACCTCACTCAAGCCTAGGTGGGGTTGTTATTATTAATTAATTAATTGCCGAACAGCCTCAAACAAAGCCCAAAGCTTCCTTTTTGTATTCTTTTCAGCCAATAGGACTCAAGGGGAAAGTCAGTTAAAAATGTACAAGACTTGCCAAATACCAGCCCATTCTAAGTTGAAAATATGAACTTTTGTTAGTATGAACTTTTGCCCAGATATATTTTATTACTTGTGATGTCAGAAAGACCTAGACTTTGGAGCCTGGCGCTTGGAAGGCCAGGGAATGTCAAATACAAATTCAGGCAAAGGTACATCTACAGGGCAAGGCTTTAGTTTTTATGCCTAGGCTGCCAGCAAAAGCACAAAGGCTTATGGGACAAATAACCTAACACAGAGGTATAAGCTAATTCAAACTAATATACAAGAAGACAGAAAGACAGAAATGGCCTAGGCTCGCTTATAATTCTGCCACAGTTTGTAAGTAGTCAGTTAAATATTATTACTGTGTATCTATTTTAATGCTGCCTGGAGGTGCTCAGTTTTGAACCTGGGACCTTCTGCCCCTAATGAACATGCTGTCCTGAACAGAAGCCCAGGTCCCACGAGGTGGGTTGACGGCCAGAAGCACCAAGAACTGCATAGTGCCTGAATGTGTGTAACAAACATGAAAAAACCCCGGCCCTTCTCTCCTCCTGCAGAGAGGGGGGGGGGGAGAGTGAAAGGAAGAGTGAAATCAGCAAAATCAAGAAAGAATGATTCCAGGGGGGGGGGAGCTGTGACCACAGTCCAGTGACCTGGATGTTTCAGCTCAAAGAGAGAGAGAGAGAGAGAGAGAGAGAGAGAGAGAGAGAGAGAGAGAGCAGCAGCAACCAGTCATTCCACTGCCATCTCTTATGCTCTGTGCTGCCTCTCACTACGCTTTGATCTCGTGGCCTCCTCAGCCCCTTGCTGAGATAATCTTCCACATTGCTGCCAGACTGCTCTTAAAACTGCAGAATCCACACGGAGGCCTCCTTTGTACCAGTGCTCCTGGTGCTCTCCTCAACCTGTGAAAAACCGCATGGCCAACTGGGCCAGGTGACTCGGCAGGGCCCCTTTTAAGAGGGAAGTCTCCCACCACAAGGCCCACCTGCCCGGACCCTGACCCCAGCTATGTCCATCTTGACCTGATTGGCCAGGCCGAGGGAAGGGGCCTTAGAGGGTGTGTACAGCCACTGTGGCCCTAGGAGCACAGCCCAGCCTCACTGCTGGCTGCCAGCAGCCAGGCGAATCATGCCTCACCTCCTTCTTTACCTCTGCAGACCTGCAAGTGGGGCCCCAGGTGAGTCTGGGGCCCTTGCTCCCAAATAATTGTTCTTAGAATTGCATCCTTAAATTATTAGGCAAATATGTATGTAAAAATAGTGTTTCTAGATACATTTTTAGTTGTAATTTTTAGTTGTAATTTCAGGATACTCTGAGTTTAAGAGAACATTAAAGAGGAGGCAAACAACACTACTGTTCCAATATGTAAAACCTGTTGAAAGCAAATTTGATGAACCTGAACCTCCTGAATATAACATGAACTTCTTATAACAATTTATTAATCCTTGCATTCAATAAAGAAATGGTCTTTTTCTAGGCTTATAAATTTCATAATGCCATATGTGGTCAGGGATGTATATAGTTGATACTTTGGTCTTTGTGAACAAAACATGGCCCCGTTTCAAACTGGACCTCTCACTGCAACTAAAAAAATAGCCCAGTGTACAGGAGCAGCCTCTTAGTTCTTGCCTAGGAGGTGTTGGCTTGGATGTTAATACTGACTTTGCTCGGAGATGTGACCCTCACACTAGTAATTAAAATCTGCATCTAGGTGATTAAATTCTACCGCAGGCTTGAAAGGGACACTAAAAACCTACATACTATTGGAAATCAGAAACAAATTTTATTTATGTTAAATCATAGAATTCATCAGAGCAGGCGAATTAGCTGTCTGGATGTGAGACTGATTCTAAAACCCAAGGGTTTGAGCAAGGCAACTCCTTTAGACAGGGATGAAGGAGTTCAGGGGATGAAAAAGCAGAGTGTTTTATAGCCATCAGCCTTGAAGTCCAGTAATGAGTCTAACATTGATTCAAGAGTCCAGGTAGCTGAGCAATAAATAAATTGAAAGGGGGGGGGGAGAGGAGTAGGACCTAGGTACAGGCAAAAGTGTGGTGGACTGGGAATTTAGGGGAGCAGGGCCAGGGGCCAGCTGTGTTTCTAAAATGGGTGTAATTCATGAGTCTAGGTAAGGTGAAACATGGCCTGATCTAGTAACCGTCAGCAACAGCAGCAACCAGTCATTCCACTGCCATCTCTTATGCGCTGTGCTGCCTCTCACTATGCTTTGATCTCCTGGCCTCCTCAGCCCCTTGCTGAGATAATCTTCCACATTGCTGCCAGATTGCTCTTAAAACTGTGCTCCTGGTCACTCCTCAACTGTGAAAAACTGCATGGCCAACTGGGCCAGGTGACTCGGCAGGGCCCCTTTTAAGATGCACATGATAATAGTGGCAGAGGCTCTGGTGGCACAGATGATGTTTGGAGGTCCCTGATTAATGATCCAAATGTCATTTCTGAGTGACTGTTTCCCTTTGAAGATAGTCTAAATGCTGCCTTTTCACTCCAAGCAAGCATTATTGTATTAGGTGTCCTCCTGCTTCCTCTCTTCAGTCTTTGCCCTCTGTTCCATGCTGGCTAAACACTTATTGGAGGAATGTAGGTCTCATGTGCCAAGGGGCAAAATGAAACCGGTATAGTAGAAGAGAAGAAGAAGAGATTGGATTTATACCCCGCCCTTCACTACCCAAAGGTGTCTCAGAGTAGCTTACAAACTCCTTTCCCTCCCCCTCCCCACAACAGACACCCTGTGAGGTAGGTGGGGCTGAAAGAGATCTGACAGAAACTGCTCTTTTTCAAGAACAGCTCTTATCAGAACTACGGCTTGCCCAAGGTCATCCAGCAGGTGCAAGTGGAGGAGTGTGGAATCAAACCCGGCTCTCCCAGATTAGAGTCCGCGCACTTAACAAACTGGCTCTCTAGTAATAATGGGCACAGGAGTCCTGCTACATGAGATGTAAATTTCAGCGCTAACATTCTACCTGAGCAAAACTGGTACAGTGAGTTTAGTGTACCATTCAAAATGATGAGCTATAAATCTGAAATCATATCTCCAGTCTTATATAAGCCATAAACTCACTGGCACCAAGGCAAACCACTGTCTCTCAGCTCCCTCTCTCCTCATTGGATAATAGTATAACAACGTTTCCGGGTTACTAAAACTTCATATGTGAAGGAGTCTGACCACTCAGGAAATGTGTGGATCATACAGGTTTTCTATCCATGTGCATTATTCATATGTTTTAATAAAATAGGTGATCAGTTTTTATTTATAATTTATTGTCTTTATTGTTTTCATTTTTGTGGCATCTACCAAAATACATACAGACTACAAATAGGTGGTAAGTCCCTTTGCAAAAGTTAATTTAAATTGAAAGCTATGCTTTTCCTTGAACTGTTTAAAGATTATTTTAACACCAGTAGTTTGTATACCTAGCTGAGTTCAATCTGTAATATAAAATTCATATTATTAGAATTGTTTTATCTATTTGCCTCTTTGTGTCTGTGTTGATTTACAGTTTTTATTCCTGCTTTCCCATATAGGTGCACACATACAATTTCTGAACTTCTCCACTGAAGCAAACCATGACTTCGTTGAAATTCAGAATGGGCCTTATCACACCAGTTCTATGATTGGCCAGTTTAGTGGAACAGACCTCCCACCATCCTTATTAAGTACAACTCATGAAACACTCATTCATTTCTATAGTGATCACTCAGAAAATAGGCAAGGATTTAAACTTTCATATCAAGGTAGGCATGAACAATCAATAGTATGTATAATTTCATAATTTATAATGGATTATTCTTTATGGTACTACATAAAAATACTAGTTCTGTGAATATTTTTAGATGTGTTGCTATTTATAATAACAGTTTTTTGTATCCTTTACTTTGAAATTCTCATCTCCAGAAATATTTTATTTAATGGCTTTGTTTTGATGCGTACTTAAGAAGCACTGGTTGGAAAAGGGATTAAGTGCTCTTAACTTTTTCTGGGTTATGGCCACACTGTAAATGGTGAAATTTATCAGTTTCAATAGATAAGATTGCTATTGGAGTAAGGTGTTCAGATGACAGAAATATACTAAAACGTATCTTGCTAGTCAAAACCCTGATCTAGAGTTGTAAATCTGTTTTGAGGCTTTCAGCACTTTACATGCCAGATGCTGTCTTTTCCAGTAAAGTGAACAACCCTTGCTGACAAAAGTATTCAATGAGTGTATTGAAGCTCCAGGAATCATTGGATCAAGTTTACTGTAGTTTTTTCTACAGTTAGTGGAAGCAGATATCATTTGGGTATGGCACAAAATTATGAATGAGAGCAGCAGCGTGCCTTATTAAACTGAAGAATTCAATTTTACATGACAATGGCTGCGGTCACACGGAGCATTAGCCACGCTGCATAGACGGAAGATAGGCGGACTTTCCGGGCGCGATCTCACTGCAACATCTGGGGAGCATAGAGCTCCCGTGGCTGACCCATGACTACCCTCCGAAGACGCGCAGTAAAAAACTAGTACCTCGGAGGTACTAGTTTCTGGGAACCGCGCGGCAAGAGTGGCACCTGATCGCGTCCCTGCCGGGCTCCCGTGGCATCTGGCGCCCGCCGGGTTGTCCCCCCCATGCCTTCAGAAACGCCCAACAGCGCATGTGCACAAAGACGCGCAGCGTCGTTGAGGTCGAGGGAGGGCCACGGGGGGCTGCGATGGGGGTGAGCGGCAGCGGCCAGGTGGAGAGCGGGCCGCGTGTCCCGGGGAGGGAGGGTGGGTGGGCTGCTGGTGGGGAGGGGGGATCTGGCGGGTTACTCCCCCTCCCCCCTCCTTGTGAGAGGCCCATGGACCCTGCCCAGAGTGGGCTGTGCACGGCCCTCCTAGAGGCGGCAGCTCGTTCCGTCCCCTTCCCATCGGCCGGATGCTCTCGGTGGAGGTGCAGATATTCGTGTGATCAGCTCCTCCACCCTAACCACGGGACCTTGCCGGGACCTCGCCGGGACGTCTGATCCCGCAGCAGCACGGTATTTTGCCCCGGGGCAAACAGCCATGCTCCCCCCCCCCTGCATTTTCCTGGCCGTGTGGCCGGTGCCAATGTAAGACGAATTTTCAGGTAACAAATTAGTGATGTTCACTATTATAAAATGTCATCTCTTTCAGAATTCAATCTAAAATTATTAGAAACAAGGAATAAGGCCCATTGTGGAAATAAATACAACAAGCTCTAGAAAGAGGCTCTAAGAGAATGCCCCGGCCTTGGGCACTCAGTGTCAATTTGCTGTGGTAATAATCGCATTAAGTCTCTAAGACCTACTAAATCATATCCTTCTGTCTGCATTAGAAGCTCAAGATCTTCCTCCTTATTGCCCATGTTTTAGGCATTGGTACAAATGCACCTGAAGCCTCTCACCTTCAGCTCCATTTGACCTGGCCTTTACAGGTGGGCCTCTGCTGTTTGCTCTCCTTCATTGAAATCCCTATGTTGGTTATCTGCTTCTCCTTGTGGTATCAGTTTAAAGCCCTCCTGATGAATCTCCCCAGGTTCCTGTCAAACACATTCTTCCCTGACCTTGATAGGTAAAGTCCATCCTGTGCTGGTATGCCATCTTCCAGAAAACCTAGCCTGTGATACCAGAATCCAAACTGCTCCTGCCAGCACCATCAATGCGGCCAGTGGATCACCACCATTATCTTTTGTTCCCATCATATTCTTCTTCCTCTATCTGGAAGGATCAAAGAGAATACCACCTGTGCTCCCATTCTCTTCAGCTGCCTCCAGTGAACTTCATAACCTCAACGTGTGATGGTTTTCACAGTCATGTCATTTGTTCTCATGTGGACCATTACACATGGGTGATGATGTGCAGGCTTAATCAGTTTTGTCACCCAGCCTGCAATATCTTCTATCTTTGCCTTGGCAAGCAACACACTTCTCCTGCTAGAGGATCAGGCCTGGACACATGGTATTCCATACCCCTCAGCAGAGAGTCACCAATAATCAACCTTTTCCCTTTTCCAGTGCCCTCTGTGAAGAAATTGATTTTTTTCTCCTTTGAAGGTTCGAAATGATTAAAACTTTCACTCTGAGTTTTAACAGTCCCCCCCTCTTTTGGCAGAGCAGGAGGGGGGAAATCAATTCAGTTGCTTTTCAGATGTACCTCAGCCCACCTTCATACAAATGCTAATAGATCTAATAAGAGAGATAATGGCTGGGTCAAGCTCTCCCTCTTGCCCAAGCAGGAAACAGAGATTTGGAGGAATTAAATACTAGAGAGACTTCAGGAAGGACATTTATGGAAACTTCAGGGAAAACTTCTCTGACCGGCCTGACCTGGTCAGTGAGTGGGGGAAAGAGGGGAGATAAAACTTGCAACAAGGAGGATGTCTCTTTGGTGTAGAGTCCATCAGAGCAGGCAGAAGTCTCAACTGTGGTCTGGAGGAGGCCTAGACAGCTGAAGGAAGCTTTAAGGTAAATGTAACTCTGTAAAGACTTGTAACTTCCCAAGCTAAGGAGCCTGTCCTATATTTTTAACATCTGACAGGGCATGTATAAAGAGAGGCACAGAGGAATTACATTTTACCCATTTCTTTTGAATCACTTGCTCATTCTGGTGTTGTGCTAAAAGTATGCTTGTGAACATTCTCTTTTTAAAAAAAGTTTATTTATCATTTTCCCATAACAAAAAAGAAAAATATATGCATTATATATACAGAATACTTTTGGAGTTTACATTTACACACTTTGTTCAATCAATCTGTCCATTTTTTGCCATCTTTTTCAAAACACATTCTCGTCTTTCCCTGACAATATCATGTTTACTTTATCCCTTTCCTTAATTTCCATAATTTCCATAATTATTTCTTCTCTACTTGGTATTTTATCTGATTTCCAACATTTCACTAAAAGAATTCTAGAACTAGTAAAGGTAAAGGTAAAGGTTCCCTTGCTCGAAAGCCAGTCGAATCCGACTCTAGGGTTGCGGTGCTCATCTCCGTTTCAAAGCCGAAGAGCCAGCGCTGTCTGAAGACGTTTCCGTGGTCATGTGGCCGGCATGACTAAACACCAAGGCGCACAGAACGCTGTTACCTTCCCACCGAAGTGGTCCCTATTTATCTACTTGCAATTTCTTGCTTTCGAACTGCTAGGTTGGCAGGAGCTGGAACTAGAGACAGGAGCTCACCCTGTCTTGCGGCACCCGGGTCTTGAACTGCTGAACTACTGAACTTCCACAGCCTGCAGTTCAGCGTCTTAACCACTTGAGCCACCGCAGCTCCAGCTCTAGAACTAGTAGGAATATATAATATTAGTCATAACTCATTATATTTAATCCCACCCGGTAACATGTTAAGCAGATATATTTTTGGCACCAACTCCAGATCTATATCAGTAATCTCTAGTATTAGTTGTTTTATAGTTTTCCAAAATTTACAAACCTTCTCACATCTCCACCACATATGGTAGTATGATCTTATGTTACTTTTGCATCTCCAGC